TGAACAGGTGCGCGATATTCGACGAGTGTGTTTGTTGGAGGGAGATGACTACCATGCCGTTATCTGATGGAGTTGCGGAGACCCGCCATTTATTATATTGACTTACCTTCCCCTTGTACCAATTGCACCTCAGTGCTATGCACCCCACATCTATGAACACGCGTTTCCACGTCCTTGCCATAAGTTTTCTTCATTTCATTTCGTGACTGAGATTCCCCTTATCAGATTGACACATAATTTATGACATTAACCTCGAAGGTATGACCCATGTCTTCACAACATTCATCCATTGACATACACACAATCACCTGCATGCCTAACATGATTTCATTTGTAAAACTTGAAAATTTTATACCGCCCACATTTCCCCCTCCTTGTTTAAACATCGAAACTTTATCTTTAATGATATTAATTTGACCCACTGCTACAAAATTATCGTCTGACTGGCTGCAGGCTTGCTGATGCAGAAGGCAGATCTGAACGAAGGAACGTGCAAGTCGTCAGAGGTCAAGAGCAACGAGTGCGGCGAAGACTGAACAGTTCGTATGTAGGAGCACTGACAACAGGGACTAGGAGGTTAGATGGGTAGACAAGAATCAATGACGGGCGCCAACCATTTGACTCAGACTAGCGCAGGAAGGATTTTGAAGGCCGGTGTATTTCATGCTGAATATTTTGAAAATCTTTCCGAACCCATAATGATTTATGGTGAAATAACTTTATCTCCCTGTTGCTCTTATATTGACATTTCTTAATCACAAACACCATACATTATTCTTCATCTGTTAATTCGACGCCCGGCACATTTGAATATTGCGTGGTTTGAGCATGGGAGCGACTGTTTGGCTCTATCTGGACATCTTATTTGGCTTGCTTGCTTGAGTGCTTTTGACCGCATATTTGAGGTTTGCTTCACTGTACATTTTGTGATAATTTCGTTAATTCAGTACCGTAGAACATTGCGGATCAATTGTGTTTTATTTCGGGATTCGTATCGGTTCGGCTACGCGTCACTCAAGTGCGAATTGGTTGACGTACACCTGTGACAATATTGGCTGGCCGGTTGCCGCATTATTTGATTCCATTTGGGTCTCGTTTACTAACGTGAGATGCTCCAGAATGTCTTCAATTACTACCACATTCGGTTTTTCTAAGACCCTTGAAGCCTTAGGTAGTTTCATTTTCTCAGCCCTAAAATATTCTCTTCCCGTCATTTCCCTGACTCGGGGTTCATCAGGGACTATTTTATAACGCCCTTATGTGGCACTCTAAACTAAGTCTGCCCGTGATAGAATTATATCCCTATCTAGCGGTCTGGCAAACTCTACCAGTATGGGTCTAGCTGGTACCTGTGTTGCTTCCATGGGTG